GCGTGCGCAAACGTGGCGTGAGTACTCCTGTACAGAGGCATCTAGTGGTATGTACGGAGTGGCATACTGCTTCCGGAAACAATACTTGTCCGTGGGATGTTCACCGAACCTGATTGTGAAGCGGGATTAAACGGAGTCGACGCGCGTGTATTCTCTTCTACCACCCACCCACCAAAAGCATCGCCTATCGCGCCATTATCTCAAAGCGATCACTTGTGCGTTGTGTCATGCATATTAATTTCCACATGGCAAACATGGAATTTAACAAAAGCAAACCCATTATGGAAAGTTTTGGAGGACCCTGCATGGCCATTTTCGTGTCGGTTGCCCTTTTGTAGCGATTCGCGCGAGCCGCGTTATGCTCTTGCTCCCCCCCCCCCCCCAAACTTAATCTCTACGGGACGGAAAGCACTTGTGTCCTGGGTGCCGAGATGCGATTTTGTGTGGGGTAGATAACATAATCTACAAGGTAGTGAAACCGATGAAGACGATGAGCCTCCAACCGTTCCCATATGCGTGTGTTGCGTCCCATGGCCTCACTTGTGACCGCACTGCATGCTTGCGGATGACGCACGCCTGGTTGAAGGGCGGGTTAGAACGGAACAACGGATCGGAACGTCCAACGACGCACCGAAACCCAAAATCCCTATGATGGTTTATTCGCCTCAACTTCCCATCTACACCTGCTAAGAATAGTATGGGGCCACATGTCCCACCCCCTCGAAACGGACGGAGAAGATGCGTGTGGGGAGCGCAGCGATTGGCGGGCATCCCTACCCTGCCCAATCCAGACTTTGCGTAGAATTATCTGATTGGCAGGGTCTGCTTTTCCTGCGAGTAAGATGTCTGATATGATATGATATGCAGCGCGGGGCAACACGTTTGCATCCCCGTCCCTTGTCCGCATCGCATTTCTGGAAGAGACTAGTGCGTCCACGTGACAGTATTGGGGATGCGGGTCCTCGTCACGTCCTTGGATGGCTGTCACTGCTTACATGCATGGGCACGGTGTGTGTTTGTGTGTGTTGTACCGCGTGGCTTGCATGGTTGGGCTCTGAGTGCAGAGTCCTGGGAAAGGCGATGCGCATACCGGGCAAGGATGATGCTGGCGCAAGTGCATGCGGGGCCCGGCAGTGTGGTTCGGCGATTGGACTAGCTGCATCATGAGGTGTGGGTATGTGCGGGATTATGGAACTGGCGAGGGTGCGGTGCGTTATGTAAGATTTGATAGTGAAGCTGAAGTTGTCATTCCAGCAGTCCTTGTTGAGAGAAAACATGAGTAGATGGTGTCTACCTTGTCTGTACATGACTCACTCCCTGGTACCTGGTACCCATCTTCTTCTGGTTCTTGGTAACCGTGCCAGTTACGAAGACCACCTACCTAGGTATATACAGTAGGTAAGTCAACGACGAGTCTTCTTGTAACAGGATGTGTAGCACCAAGTTGTTGCAATCAAGTAACTACCTACTTAACATCGGTTGTGTAATTCGCATCGAAGACCCAGCACTTGCGCATATAGTTGGGTGGCAGAGAAAATTCTACCCCGCACTCTCGCAGGTTCCTCGAAGTTTTGAAGGTGCGAGTATCTGTGCTGTGGTACGGCAACCAATTCTGTTCAAGTCGTAGGACATCAGAAGATCTGTTCTGAGCATTCGACGAATACATGAAGGCATGGTTTGATTGCTGAGGTGAAGGCGATGCTGTGCAATATGTGCATGATCTGTCTGCGACCGAAGGCGCAAAAGATTACAGTGCCTGCCAAAGCGCTGCATCTACAAGGTCATTGAGTCAGTCACACAATCCGGTGAGCGTTTTAGCTATGCTTGCTTTGCTGAATGTGATACATTGTCATGTGGTAAAGCAAATATTGCGCGCAGACGGAGGAGCGCGAAATCAACGCGTGACTAGGTAATTTGATAGACACACACGCACTGCCGAGAGAGACATCGTTCGCGCAGCGCAGATCGAATCCCGTACAAAAGACGTCGATGGTATTGCATCAACATGACAGGAAGATACGGTGTGAATTATAGGTACACGTGTCGAGAGTCGGTCATCTGGATGTGGGTGGAGCCCCTAAGTCCCGCGGATGTACATCAATGGATTCCATCATGCAAGTCAAAGAAACATCAGCTGTAAAGGCTGAAAAAATGAGGAAGTTAGTCCGGATACCGCGTCCCAGTAGGGTATGGCACCCCGCGACCAGCAACATGACTAGGTCGCGCGGTGGTGGTGAAGCAAGAAACGTGAAAACACCATCGGCAGTTGCATAGAAGCAATCAAAACGTGCTTACGCAGCCCGAGATATCTATCCTGTCTTGCACGTTCGGCCCGAGTGGCGAACAGAAATCGGGTAAGCACAGCAGAGGCTGATCATGGGCTGGATCCGCTGCAGCATGCGCAGTTTTACAGCCTTGTTACCCGCCGCAGAGGTAAACGGTGAGTGCTGATCTTATACACAGTTCCCTTTGATTGGGCGGGTATCTGTCTCCACTTGCGGCATGTCATCAATTAGTACCCATGCACCACAGCGGCTCTGCCTAGGTAGTTCTTCTTCACGACGTAGGATCACGGGACAAGCGGCTGGCTCGTGGGCAAGCTAGGTTGTATCCTTGCAGCACATTCTGCAGCGTGGAGACTTTCTTAGTGCTTCTTCTTGTATGCCCACCCGCAACTTTGTCGCGAGTCAGCATCACACCGGATGCTGGTAGCGTTCGCGGACGTGATGGCATCGAATCGAAGGTGGAGAGATGGCGGTGAAGATGTTGCGTGCGTCGTGCGCGCTTCGGGGGCCCGGCAAATCTAAGGTTAGGCCCGATGACGAGGATGGTGGTCAAGGGCATGTCGTGCATAGAGCGGCACAACAGTTAGTCTTGAAATCCGTGAGAGTGTTGATTGGGTCATCATGGAAAAGTGAAGGGTCGGATTGATTAGCGATATGGATAATACGAATGCGACATCGTTCTTTGTTGTGCTGCCTTGGTGCAGGGCTGATGTTCGGTTGAGCAGCTTGCGATAGGTCGGCTACTCCCTGCCTGTCTTGACATGCCTTGTCATGCGAGTGTCCAAGACCTGCAGGGCGTCATAGTGTCTGCCTGGACATCATTAACAACATGTCAGTCCCTAGTCTCGAAGAAAAGGCCGTCGATATTCTATTTCACCGTCGACTTTCCTATTGAGGAAACAATGTGGTAGGCAATTCTCTGGTCAGCTTAATGCAGCTTCCGCAATTTGGAGAAACTTCTAATCCGGCCGATTGCGGTATCCTGTTCCCTTGATCGCTGTACGAAGTAAGATGTGCACAAGAGCGGGATAGCTACTAGTTGGACCGTGCTAAGGAGGTGGCGAGATTCGGACCGTTTTGAGGAAGGTTCAAGCTACTGCGACTGTGGGACGTTTTGTGGTGTGGTAAAATCAACCACCGGAGAAGTTCCACTCGACACCGTCAACACCGGGCTTCTAAATAATATCCGCAGAGTTCTCAAGCTAGCGCGTAAGATGACAGGAAGACGGGCGTCCATTGAAGTTTAGGATCAGTAGCGCACAGTGGCGGACTGATAATACAATTCCTAGTTGAGAGAAGTAAAGGGCCTCAACTATAGAGGCGCTATAATGCCGTACATAAAGTTCCGGCGTGGGTCAGAGAATGCGCCGAATCGTCCAACGGACCGCGCCGGAGGCGTCTCCGGCATCTAGTATGCGAAACACGGAAGTTAAATTCTGGCCAGCTCACATCCTCGGCTGCTTTCCAGCACGATGGTCAGGTGGCTACGGACCTCTCTGACGGGATTTTGTGGACTGTGCGCAGTAGAATCAACATCGGTCTTTTGAGCGCGAGGTTGTGATTGTACACGTGTCTGCGTAGCCTACAATAGTTTATGCCATGTGGGCGCCTTTTCAACGTGGCATGTCTGGTGACATTCGAGGGCGTACGACCAATGCTACGCGCTTGTGAACAACGTGAAGCACTTTTCTGAAACAAGAGAAAGGCATCATAACACACTCGGGCACGGCAGCCTGGACTTCGCGGAAGACTGCCGACCTGCTAAACCATATAGTCTGGGAGTCAACGTCCATCGCTCCGGGTCGCTTACCTACGGTGAGCTTTAAACTTTCGACGGATACCTTAACCAGAGACGCTATGCGCAAAATGCGGGTTGTATGATGTGAAGGCGTCAGTTCTAAGCTCATTTCTTATCGGCCGTGTACAGCACCCTGAGGCTGCACTCGGTATGGTTCTGGCCTCATCCGCTAGGGCCGGTTCCTGATATGGATTTTGGAGAGTTGACGGCGGCTTTTCTTAGTTCGTCATCCCACATCCGAAACTCAGTTTTGATGACCGTCTGTTTTCGAACACCGTAGCGGAGATAGGCTCGTTGGTCGAATTTTGTGATACGTTGGGCGCATACGAACGTGAGATTGTGATTTGGATTTGCCAGGTGCCCTCGCAAAGCAAGTCTCAGGGTGGAAGGCCAGAGGGTAATGGGTTTGAGAAACAAAATACATTATCCGCGAAGGCCTAGGCAGTGGCGTTTCTTAGATTGTATCGAGAAAGACACCATGTAGTTTGATATGGTAGATAGTGAGTGTTGGAACTAGTTTGTACAACAACAGGCGTTTCATTCTCTTTGGTGTCCGCGAGCGGACAAATAAAACAATAATGCTGCCCACGAAGTGGTACGTATGACGAAGTATTGTACATTGGCGAAACGAAGTTCCTCAATCCTGGTACGATGATAACGATGACAACGATGACAACCAAAACGTCCGCGAGGACGGAGACATCTAGATGCAATTTGTCCATAGTATTGATAAAAAACAGAAACGAGAAGCCATAGGGTATAACGCAGATTTGTGCTCGCAAAATTGCAGAAGCTGGAAGAAACCACCCGCGCGATGTGAAAGATGCATCTTGGATACAAGTTTCAGAAAAGTAATATAGGAGTAATGTGATAGGATAGAAGCATCATTGCTTCCCTCCCTGGATCTTCTCTTGGGTTCAGGTGCGGTGCTCATACCGATTCGCCTCAGGAGGAAATGAATCGCGATAGGCTGGCCGTTTGGCTGTGGGCTGAGGACCTGCGGACTGTGCCTGTTGATGCTGTGGGTACTGATGTCCCTGAGTAGGAGCATGGTTCACTGACCCAAAGGTAGATGCAGGGTAACCACGTGATTCATGGCTAGGAGCAGACACATCGGTGTGGTGAGGACCGACGGCCGGATGGTAGCTGCTAGTTCTTCTTCGAACATTGCGCTCTTCTTCGCGCATCTCTTCCTCGTAGCCGTCATAAGAAGCTTCTGAGCCATGCCCGGTGGTAGAAGACGGTGCCCGTGACGGCGCTACCGATACACGCCTCAGGCGAGGCGATGGTGGTCGGGTGATGTGACGTTCTGGCTGAGCTTGCATTGCAATCGATCTCCAGTAATCTCTCTCGGAGCGATAATACTCAGCATCTTCATTTGAATCGCGGACGTTCTGCTCCAATCTGGATATGCTTATAGAGGCCTCACGTTCCTTCTCTTTCCTTCTGGCACGGAAACGTGCGGAAGCACCAGCGTTACGCCTTCTCTTCTCATCAGCACCCTTGGAAGCGGTCTGTGTTTCTACTTGGATATTGTGCAGAGACCCATCCTGGCTCTGAATTGTCATGAGCTGGACACTGCTCTGGTTGGATGGTGCCATGGCTATCATACTATTACGCTCACTCTCCATGGATACAGATCCCTGGCGGGAATCGTGAGTAGGTGTATGTCTACGCATTGGTCCATATTGGCCTTGGGTACTGTTGTTGTCGTATTGACTCGACGCAACGGAGGCGGGCTGACTGTAAGGAGAGTATTGTGCGATTGGACTAGCACTACCAGATTGGGGGAAGTTTACGCTTGGTCGGCGGATCTCTGTTCGCATCATGTTCGGTGGGGGCGTCGGAGCTGTAGCTGGGAAATAGTGCGTCCGGCCGCCAGCTGGAGGTGTAGGTAAAGCAGGCTGTGTTGTCATTATTTCCGAAGGACGGGTACTTGCAGTTAAAAAGGGCGACTGCTGTGCATCGATTGTACCCGTGGGTGGGTTCAATCTGCTCAAGCTGTGGGTCCTGATTCCTTTCTCGGGGTAGAGAGACCGTATTGGAGGACGCTCTGGGGGCTGGAATGGTCTGGCATGCTGCTGCCCTTCCTGCGTAGATTGAGTAGAGTCTACGCTGTTGGCTCGACTGATAGAGGGCAGGCTCTGGGAATTCTGTGTATCGACTGGGGATGGTGAGTCCATCTGAGAATTACTGCGTCTCAAAGCTCGTTGCTGTTCGACAAGTTCGGCCTGGGGGTTCAGAATTGAGTGGACTCCAAAAGGATTCCCAAATCTTCGGTCAGACGGAGTGGGTGGAGTCTTTGAAAGATGGCGAAGAGGTGGCAGTGAAACGGGGGAATTCACTGGGGCTTCCCGCGGACTCCTGTATGGTGGTTGCATTGGGGGATAGGATTGAATGGGTGACATTTGTGGGGTGTTCCGCTCTGAACGAGGCTCTCCTGCCGACAGGATGGACATGGAATAATTATCGCCAGAGCCCCCTTGGCCGCCCTGACTGGACCATGGGCCGTCCGGTTTTAGATCGTTGTGGTATGGGGGAGTCAAAGAGGGCTGGAAGCGTCGTGGGTAGTGAGGGAGAGGGGCCCGAATAGCGGGGAGAGTTTGAGTAGCCAGGATGACTTGGTTGGTTGGGTCGCCTAGAAGACAACCCAGAAGACGTCAAGGTAATAAACAGTCTTAGAGGCGAAAAAGGTTGTGGATGGCAGAGAATGGCGGTAGTCCAAACGGGGAAGCAGGATGACGAGGCGAGGATAAATTTCCTAGTAGGGCAGTTGAGGCAGTGTGGGGCTGACGTCCATGCTATACTAGGCGTGAGCGGCGGGCGCTGCAGGAACAAGGTCTGGAGATCAGTGGTAAAGTGAAGCGTGGAGGAGGAAATGAAGCTGCAAGGCAACGTCGAGGGAACTGGTAAAGAGTCTGGGAGTCGAGATCTGGCACGCCCGCAATCGGCAGTGGTCGCGCCAGGACCGGGTGTGATATAAGGCTTTTGCGGTGTAATAGTCGGAGGAGCGCCGACCGGGCAGCAAACCATCGAGGGTGCATATGCCCCCTGTCAAGCCTGGTCCATGTTGCGCGAGGAAGGGCAGCAAGTACATCATGCCTTGTCGGCGGCTTTGACGACGCGCTAGGCGGTGCCTTCATGCTTGCCAGGATATGCTGGCAAGCTACGCACGCACGTCTTGCGCGCTACTGCATGTTCGACAGTGACGATGCGCGGAAGCGGAAGAGAGACTAATCCCCCACCGCAACAACGCGCAGCTGGCGGCGGCGGCCAAGGAACGACGTCGAGGTGGCCGCGCCCTGCAGCCTCCAGCACTGACCTGCGGGAGACAGTCCGGAAAGACGTCCTGTCATCTCATCTGCAGCTCGCCGGCCCTCCCTCCTCCACTTGCAAAGCCCATCGGTGGCTGGCTCGCTCTCATGTCCTCGAGCCCTGCTAGGGCCGGTCAAGCCAGCGGTAGCGGGCACCGTGTGCGTGATGCGCACGACCATGTCTCATCATGTGCCCCAGCACATCATCCCTTCGCCTGCCGCTCGTTGTGAAATGAATTGTGCTCGCTCTTCATTTTGCTTTGTTGAGCGCGCCTCATTGGTAGCCAATCGCGAATTTAAAATCCCCGAAACATGCCAACATGCCGCTTGTGCCTCGCGCGCTACACGCACTGCACAAAACACGACGCACAGCTTCGCCCCGAGCTGCTCGTGCATCGATCGCCATGCTCACGCTTTGGCCAGAGAGATCGATAGCACCGCTGCTGCATGTCTCATCTCATCAGTGGGTTGCTTCTTGTACACCTGCATTTCCGACCCGGCCAGCACCACTAACGTCTCGGGACGGTCAGCGGCGGCAACGCCTCGTCTCGCTGCGGATGACAGAAGAAATTGGCTCACCCACGCCATGCAGCCACGAAGGAGCGATCGCTTCCGCCTTGGAAAACGTGCGTGTCGAGAACGTGCTCCTCATGTGGACGTGTTACAGTGGCCATGTGGGGGTAGCAACAAGTTCATGAGACGGCATGATAGACATCTCTGCCTTTGTTGATATGGATGACGGCCTTCTGAAACTCGATCGAATCAGTGACATGGTAGCCCTCGGCCTGCCGTGGTGATAACATTGAGCAATATGACTAGGATTTGGTCACAGTTCACCACGCATACCGTGGGGGTGGTGAGCATGTGGAGCGCCTCACGATACAGATGCCGCATCCCAGCACAAGATTTGTGATGGGTCTGATCGTCAGCCATGAGTGTGCAAGTACCATACACGTCGGGCTGGCATGGCGAGACCAGCATTGCGCAATTTATGGCGCCTTCGATGCGAGGTCTCGTTTGCAGCGCAACTTCGAGTTTGCGCTCAAGTTTAGCACGTTGGGCTTCAACTTCTGGCCCCTGTCGCATTGCAAATTCCGTCAGGTGTCCGCCTCAAGATCCTACAGACGCACACCATGTTAAACAGGGCTAGCTCGTGTCGTGTTGCAACAATCAGCTGGCGTCAATCCATGTGTGATTCCTGCTTCTCGAACCCTTTCCATGACAATTATACCCGAAGCACTGGTAACGTCGTGCATGTTGCAGGACATGAAAGACGATCTCTATGCCGCACATCTCATCCGCTCTTGTTTCACACTGTATAGGGCTGGAATTCGAGCAGAGGTGCAATGGCCACAACGGCGTGTATCTTGCCACCGGGGACGAGTCCTTTTTCCGGGCAATCGCGGAAGGTATGGTGCTCCTAATGACTCCAAGAGACACCCTTTGCAAGAATTGTCGAGGCCGCTTGCTTCTGGACGCAAACTGAACGCCCTCGCGAGCGCCTTGGCCAGGGATATGTTCCGAAATCGTCATAGCTTACGACCAGCGCCGTGGTCGGACACGGCGCCACAGATAGATCTCAGCCTTCGGTTGGCTGATTTTCTCCACCAGTTTCCGGCTCCAGGCTGTCGGTTGCGCGGCCAAGATGGTAGTTCAGGGGAGACTGTACCGGGTTAGGAGGTTACGTCACACGTGATGGACTAATCACATATACACGGTACAGCCGCGCACAGCGGTTGGTTCCTGTTCCAACCCGCCGGATCATATCGCCATCTCAATCTAGAAGACTGATCCAGACGAGATGAGATACGGAAATGACTCGTAGTCTCGGTGCAGTTGCACCTGTTCGTATATGGCGCCTCCGGTGAAGCTGGGTACCCAGGTGAACTTTGCGTCCACTTTTGTGTTCCTTCACCCCACCTCCCTACGCGACAGAGACGGCAAGACTGCCGTTTCCTTCCGCGACCATGTCGACATCGTCACATACAAGCTTAGCGCGTTGTGAAGATCCAGCACGCGATAATGGTGGCAGGTGCCGGCGCGTGCTCGTCGAGGCGATAATCCTTCGGCACTTAACCGATGCTCCACGATGTTTCCTCCAGGCACGTGTCCAGTCATGTTGAAGTGAAAGGGATACCCTGTGGTAGAGATCGAACCAGTGGACAATCCGCATACGGTCCAAGCTCCAGCGCGGCCGCCTTGATACTCTTGAACGCGCTCGCTGTGGGCGCTTTCGCAGCCTTGAAGTGTTTGTCTATCGCTTCCTGCACGGAGGGGCGCAGCCCAATAGGGTGTGATTCTCACGACCCTTGAACACCCGCAGTTTGCACCATATACCACAACGTAGCTTCTCACAACATTTCCGATATGGGCTTGTCTTCGCTAGACAGACTTCTGACATTTGTAGCAGATTCGTATCGAAACATGCATCATGGGGCTCGCTTCACACGCTCTCTGTTACACAAAAGAAAACCCTGAGCTGAGAATCCTTCCAGCCGCCTGCGCAAGGCTCACCATCGTAACATTTTCGCTACTCGGATCACTCTATACTATCCGCTATATAGGCCAGAAGCGGGAGATGACGTTTCTTACCCTGCTGCACATAATACATGAGGCGGTATCTGATGCACACGGATCCCGACTGGGTTGTTCAACCCAGATGGTTGTTTATCATCGCTTCCTGCTTGGTACGGTCTTTGTGCTCTTCTCTTGAATGACTTTCCGCTCGGCCTGCATCGCCGGCACCTACCACAGGTAAGCATCGCAACTGCATATCTTCCAAGACATTATACATGCATCAGATTCTCGCTGACCCTTGAGTATGTGTCCTACGGTGGTCGTGTTCCCAGGAAGACGTGCACTGTCGACTCGCACTTCCTTGTCCTTGTCCTGATCATTCAGTCTACCATGTGTCAAATATGCGTCTTTCTCGGGTATCTCTGCCATCCAATGACCGCCTGCGCAAGTGAGCTTTGACAAATGTTCGCACGTAGCCCTGCATGTCGTCCTCCAAGGCACAAACATACATGAACTTACCACCCAGCTGGTAAGCCAACACATTCAAGACCCACATAAAACAGTAGTCAACGGGTCAGTCATTGATAGCTTCCTGATGCGCAGAGCAATGGGGACAATGCGACGGAGCCTGTGTAGATGGGTCTTTCCCCTCTTGCTGGCCAAACGAATCGACGAGTGTCACTTATATGGCATCATCTGGCTTTTAAAGAAGAGGAACTACCCCCACAACAATCCTGTTTGTCAAAACATCTGCTCATCGTCCATTACATACGGAGGAACTTCAACCCAATGGTACGATACGATTTACACGGAATGAACTCCACACATGCGGGTTACTCGATGGACATTAGTAGATTAGCATACCTTTTTAGCATGTCAAAAAAACGCTAGAAGCTGCATAAAAGTTCCAGACAACCGTAGTCAGGCCGACTGTCAGTCTCACTACCCTGCTCACTACCAATTTGTCGGCGGTGATCTTTCGGCCCTTCTCACCAATATTGCGTCTCCAAGCGTACGGTAATACCCCTCCCAGATCCAGCTGTCCTTTGTTCGACAAGCACCCACAGGACGATCGAATTATCTCCTTTTTCTTTGCTCGCATACCATGCCTGTATATCCTCTTACACGCATGGAAGGCGAAAAGAAATAACCGAGAACCCTTTGTCAAAACTATCTTACCCCCGAAACCCTACCGCCCATTCCGCCACCGCTTGATAAGTCTGACCAGTTCTGAGTCAGCGCTTGTTGACTTGTACCGTGACTGTAGTACTATTGATTTGGAACCTCAACAACAAACTTTCAACGCTGACCACAAGTTTATGCAAACCTTGATCAGATTCTCAGTCGTTCAG